TGTTTCGCGAAAAGGTTACAATATTGGTATGGATAATGTTGGTGGATATTAATACATAATCAAAGTAAGGTTAGAGTGGATAAAACAAGCTAAAATTCAGCTATATTACAAATAACATAATATTGCTATATCTATTCATGAAACTCGAGTAATATTATACAAGGCATTTAGTGGCAAAAATATATATGTATTCATTGTTCGACTATTTGAACAATGGATATAATTTTTGTAACTTTCTTATTATGTAAATTGTTTACGTGACCGTGTTGTTTTTATAGGAATCGTTCAACAATTCCATGGCTACTAACATTTAGTATAACGAAATGTGTAAGTGAGTTTATATGTTCTTTACTTCTTGTTGGCGACATAATGACTCAATCAATCGTCATGAAGTATGATTTACATATTTATAGGTATTAATTTGGTCTGAATTTATACGTCAAAAATTAATCTTATTGTAAATTAAAGTAGGGACTAATAATTACTAATAATATAGTATGTAATATTATGTTATCTGTGAATATAGTAAAAAGTTCTTTCACGGCAAGTATATCGTATTATCCACTTCTGGGCATCAGTAGTTACTCTGCTTCAGACCCAATGTTCTGGAGTTGGATATGCTGTATATCTATATAATATATAACATTACTAAAGAATGAATGAATTATATCCGAAAGAAATAAAAATATATAACATACATAAGTATTAGTTATAAAAAGCAAATTCTGATATCTTTATTTAGAATGAATAAACTAAAATTATTTCACTTTAGGAAAGTTACAATATCAACGAGTATTATGTGCTGTAATTAAGAAATTATCATAGAAACGATAATAATTGTACCCACCCGTGCGAAGTTGTGGTGGATTGTTAGTTATAGCACAGATAACATAATATTACATATATAGGTAAAGTAATAGAAATGGAGTTGACGTTTTTGAAGTTGTTTAATATATCATACTGTCAACATATATTAACATTTCTAACAGAGAATAGTCTGAAGTATAAAATCTTTGTAGGTGCTTCTGTCTCACCTATTTCAGTCGCTAAGCAGCTTACATTGTAAGATGTATTTCATTTGTATAGTGAGATGTGGCACAGGGTAGTGAAATTACAAAGTAATACATCTTACTTCTCCGAAGAGAGGTGCCACTGGCGTTACTTCAAGGCGTTATCTCTGTGTTACTGTTCATGTACCTACATTGATGACGATTGTTACTTAACATTAAGTGTTCCGTCAGTTTATATGCCATTTTAGTAAACTATATAAAAAAATAAAGGCCTCCATTAAATGCGACAGTCACGTATGGTTACCTAAGCGTCGGTTGCCACTGCAGTGTCCCTGAACTTACAGCTAGTAGTTTCCCGGCGGATGAGAGCTGGCCGCTTCGATAGGCCATTCTCTAACTGCATCTGGTATATGTAGTATCTATTTCGCAGAAGAAACAATAATTGAGATTAACTTCTATATAAAAAAAACTTAATAGGGTAGTCATATGTTAGCAAAAACAATGAGGTAGGTAGTAGGAGTAATCTAAAGCTCAATGATAGATAAAATTAGAGATATGCCGCAATTTCATCTCTTCTTTTTAGTTAAAAGATACAATCTATAACGAATAATCGCTCAAATTTTATATAAGATCCGCTGTTTAATCTTTAAATACCCTTTCATACAAAACGACAGACAGACAGATACACACATTTTGGATTTATAATATTAGTACGGATTGGCAATGTGTGTACCTAAGTAGGAATTGTTGAATATTAGCTATCTTCTAATTTTTTTTGCGTGCGGATTTGCAAGCATTGGAAATAAAAATTTGCCGAGTTCTAATGGATCAAGCAACACACATAATAACTTTAGTGATGTAGTATTTCCTTATGCAAAATTTCTTTACAGCAAATATTTTTTGTTTTATGTTGTTGTTTGTATTGAATCTATTCACAGACATCAATATAGATCGATCCACTATTCCCCAACGTAATATTGACAGAATTGGTCCGTGTCCATTTGAAGAAAGGAACAACTCTGTCCGTCGGCAGAGGCAATAAATTTCAGGCGTCGCAAAGGTGCGTTTACATTTAGGCGTGGCAACTCGGTCAAGGGGAAACAATACATTTGAACTGGAAAAGAAATGGCCCGTTTACCACATACACATGGTCGTCATAACGGTATGTTGTTAGGTCATACGCGGTCTACTTTTAGGTTTCGCTCGTCAGAAAGAAATAGGGCTTATGAAATGGTTACCTTCCAACTAGAAAGGTATGTGGAAATATATGTTAGCAGGTATCTTCATGCTAAATGTCATATGGGACATGTTTTTGCTTTGGCTTATATACTTACAACGATTATTTTTTGACAGTCTTTTATAATTTGTTTCTTGTATACACGCCGCTTTATTATTTATGTATTTAAAAAAATATACAAGTATATCTACCAGTTGTCTCGGACCCACAATACAAGCTTTATTTGGACTTATTTAAAGCCTTTCACATCAGTTACTGTAGTCTTTATGTTCTCTGAAGTGTTTTAGTTCTTTATTGTCTACTAGAATTAACCTAAATTCTCCGTACATTTACCGTTACATTAAGTCCTTAATAAAAGAAATGAGTTACTCGCTTAATGTAAATAACTCTGTATAAGTTTAGGATCAATGCCAACAGTTTACATTTGTGTAAGACTAATAATACAATATACTGTAGGAGTCCTGCAGAGTCAACGTCTTTCAACGAGAACGTAAGGACTATATGTAGGGTTGTCACAAGAGAGAGGGGTAAAAGGTATAAAATATCATGTACTAGCCATGGTTTCACCCGCATTAAGTTTAATTATATAAATTTCAATAAACAATATAGTCTATGTGTAATTCTGATGTATAAGCTATATTTACGTTCAGTACTTTTTGCATGAAAGAGAAACAAACAATCATACTCACAAACTATCGCGTTTATAATATTATTAAGATTAAGATTCTATAATATTAGTTCACACAGACTCGTCATCATGCAGACATTATTGGTTATTTTATTTTCTTAGATATGCCCTCGTGTAGAACCACCCATACAACAGTCTGACTTGAAGATATATTGTTTCAAGAGAACGGACATAGCTTATGTTTTAAATTACAAACAGTCGTTGCATTCGCTGGTAAAAAATAACAATGATTAAATTTAAGCAACTTTTCTTTGAGGTCTTTCTTTTTTAAGCACAAAAACAATATCCCTCTACAAAAAAAGGTCTCTATTATAAAAACATGGTATTATATAAGTACCTAATCTACATTTTAATCTAGTAACGTGGCCTTGGTGTTGGTACGGCGCCAGTGTGGCCTGAGCCTACCAACAAAGCTTTAGAAAGAAAATCAGAAGCCTACGTAGTTGATTCAAAATATGCAATATCATTCTATTATTGTAGCAAGTTTTGGGTCACTTTAGGACCTATTAGTATTATAACTTGAAAGAGTCAGTATAGTTATTTTAGTTTACTTTATCTACTTTCTTATCTTCATTTTAATACAAGCGTAGCAGGAGGGGTTGGGATTATTTGTAATGGCTAGTGGTCAACTGTCTCATTGCTGGCAAAGTTTCATGTCATGTTGGCCTTCTTGGAAACTACTTAAATAATAAATTAATTAATTCTTCGTGACTGGTTCTATCATCATCCTTAACCATCCTATCATCCTTCGTTAGTAACTGCCTATTCTGTTAGCGCAAGCGGGTGCACAATAAAAAGAAACAGCTTTGGAAACGTAAAATTATAAATTTCGAACTTCTGTATATATTATGTAGATTATATATATATATATGAATATCTTCTATACATATTATGTATTATTATGTTATATTTATTGATTATAGTTTTCTTGTTAATGTTGGTGCAATAAAATATCGTAAATAAATAAAACAAACCTTAATATCTATATTGTGACAACCCTGATCTGGAGTCACGTGGTGGCGTCGTCGCGTCGCCTTCATCGCTCACCACAGACCATAAACTTACTAATATTCAGCTCCGTTCTTTAGTTATGCCATAAAGTAGCTATTTATCAACCAAACGTGAACGAATTCAGAAACATTCGCATTGTTGTAGAAATTTTATAAGTATTTACTAAATAATCCGACTGTTTTAAAAGGAGAATAATGAAATGATATAAATTATCGTGGTTTTCTGAAACAAACTAATCAACAAATAATATTTTTATATTGGACTCATTAGAGCAGCATCATGAATTTAAATGGAATACAAATAATTAATGAAAAGGAGCCATCAAATTGGACTATTGTAAATAAAAATAGCACATTGCCAATTAGGAGTATTCAAAAATTAAAAAATTATATTGGATGTTAATGGAATCACCTAACGGTATACGCAAGGGGGGCTCCGGCGGAGAATGATATGATGAACATCAAGTCAGGTCACTTAGACCATCTTGACGAGTTCACCAGGAATTTATCACGACGATTTTCAATTGATAGGTATATTGTTAACAATCCGAACCTCGCATATAAATTATACTTAAATATACTTATTATTTTTGTCAAATCCCCTTGTTCATATAAACAATTGAAATATTTAATATATTAGTTTTAGTCATTCAAATATTTCTTTCTCATCTTTCAAGTACTTTTTGCATGTAAAACGGGAATGAGTATTGATATTATTAATTTCAAATAAATAATATAATAATTTCACTAAATACAAGTAGGTAAGTACACATTACTGCATAAAATACGAACTAATCTTTGCAGTACACAAATAGAAAAATATTACAATTACTCTTATCAACAGCGTTTCAAATCAGAGGGAAAAGAAAACTTGGCATACACATTATTCACCTATGTTTCAGTTTACATTAACATTTTAGAATAACATCCATGAGTTTATTTACTCATTCATACCTAATCAAATTTCATACATTATTATCTCGCGTCATACCTCATGTACAGAAATAGGTATACCTTCCTACGAAAACATGGAGTTCAGTCGTTTGTGATTCTAGAACAGTGTATGGCAAGTAATGTAATTACTAATTAGTGAAGACTAAATATGTACCAAAGTATTGTTAATAGAAATTTATTTTTATGTGTGTGTGATCGATGAGTTGAGTGCGCCATGACGTCCCTAAAACATGGAGTCAATTTGAGCAGACGCGCGTGCAGGCGGGCCCTCGTGCTGTGGGCAGCAGCGATTTTATTACCGATTGTACACGCCACACCTATTGAGGTTAGTATAAACTGATGTTTTATTTTTATACACCATACGCCATGCAATTGCTACGTAGATGTTGGATCTTAAACACAACAAGCGTACACTGTGTTTCTATAAGACTCCTGAAAATATACAGGTTGTGAAACTCGCCTAGGTTTTAACACCTATCTAAGTTTTCCAAAAGAGAGAGGCAAGAGAGTTCTCTAAAAGCAAGTATTTTTGTTATTTCTCTAGTCCATTCTTACGCCATCTACCACTTTCTGTCTTCTCTCCTCTACCGAAAAGCTGTCTGGAAGAGATTGCTTACGCGATAAGACCATCTTTTGTACGATATTACTTCTGTTTATGTTCTTTGTAATTGACTTCTGGTGTAATAAACAGTAAACGAATATTTTTTAGCGCTAACAATCATATGAAACTTGTGATATAAAAGTACGTCGAAAAGGTAATAGAAGAGTACAGCTAATTTTAAACACAGATATAAAAATGAGGGTTTGAAAAAAATTTATAACATACAGTTTTTTTAAAGACTAATTCTTTAAAAAAACTGTCCGGTTAGAAACGACTATATACTTTAAACTACAAATTTAAAATGTTGATGTTTTAAAATGTTTTATGTAACGAAGTGTCAAGACAAAGCAATCTGCAATTAAAACAGTACCTACCAATGTACCAATAAAACTAATACTGTAGAATAGTTTTATAAATTGTAGGACTTATATTGTTTTTCCTATATTTCTTAATATTGGTATATTAACATTCACATAATTATTTAGCATAACATTTTTATTTAACAAATATAATAAAACCACAAATACCTACAGTACAAGAGGGAGACTGTACCAAGTCGTGGGTATTATGGGTATCTTCCTTTTTTTGACGTCATGTAGCTTGCGTTGTAAGTTTGTTGTCATTTGAGAAGTGAGATATGTCAGGTACATTCAGTCGTATAACAGTTTTTAGAGCAAGCATGTAGAAAGTCACACTATACCTACTTTCTGAAGTATATTTATAAACGACATTTACCATTTTTATTAAATGGTATGAAAGAAAGAAAAAAACCATTTATTGTCAACCATTATTAACAAACATACGTATATTTATATATAAACAATATAAACATACACATGTCAAGCTTTACGTCAGTCATTGTCGTAAAAATAAAAGCAAATGAAAGCGTACTTAAGACCTGTAAGACTTTGGACGGCGTAATAGATAGAAACATTTACTTGCAATATTTTGTACAGTAGTGGTTATATTTAACAATACATGAAGAAAATACAACACAATAGTATATAAAAATCTTTGACCATAGTGGAAATCGCGCTGTCACATTTAATGCATATGAATAATTTTGAAATATGTTTTTATATTTAGTTATTGGTTGTTTGTGTATTGTTTTCAGTTTCTATATAAGGTTATTATCTTTATCTATAACTATGAACTTGTTACTTTGTAATTATTAGTGTCTAAGAACTAAAATGTCTTCTTTGACGTCACAAATAACAGAATGCGTCACAACGGTAGGTCCTCTGTACGGGACACGTACTTGATATTAATGCTATTTCAGGATCAATTCCATCACCTAGGTTCCATTAATAGACTTGATATTTAGTATATTTTACTAACTCTACGATTACGTCACCTACTTCTGACGCCAAGTAGCTTGCTTAGCAAGGTATAAAGAGCAGCAGATATTGTTAGCTAACAGGCTTGAAATATATAGATTCGACATAGCGTAAAAGATCCGAATACGGGAGGACTGTGAAATACAAGAACTAATGTTTTGTAAAGAAAATTATAAAAGAATTTTAATTTATTACCTGTATCACAGATAACATAATATTACATACCTGTATTATCTATTTCTCATAAATTAACAATTTCAGAAGTGTGTAACTTTCCCCCATCCTTACATGGCTTTTGCGTGGTCATTTTAAACAGTTGACGAAGGTAACTCGTTCAGTTATCCGAATTTATTGTTCTTTACATTATATCTACAAAGTGTTTGGATCATTGGATATTTAAATTCACGTCATTTCCTAAATTAACATTTTTCTGTTCAAATGATGTCACGACCCTACTTTATTTTTGTATAGGTAGCTTAAAATTGTACATTAAGAAACTAAGTATGTAGTTGAGTAGTAAAATACTTAATTATAAGACGCCATTAAAAAATAGTACCTAAGTATAGTTTTTGTACAGTTAATGAATGCAGTATTTGGATAGATAATTTCTATCATCTTGTGCGTATAATTGGTTTGTGCATTACTTTGTAAATTACATTCATTGTATTTTATAGATACAGAAGAAACTTAAGAGTTCGCTGTTTAATATAGGTATTTTTTTATTTTAATTAAATTTAATAATTAATTCGATGCAATAAATATTCAGCATGATTTTATATGTACATCATGTCATATACATGTGACAATGGAATTCGTGATGTCCGGTGTTAAGTACATCAAGTTGCTTGCCATTTCAGTCGTATCATCATATAAAATTAAACTCTTTTATATTTTTATATTTCATTAGTACTTTTTATAGTCATTTTCATTATCCTCTAAGTAATAAAGGTTACATTTGGTTATACAATATAATTATTAGAAATTGTAAGGGCGTCGATGAAACTTTCTAGGTTTATTTTATAGACACAGGGCCAGTCGCTACATAAGCATGAAACTTGACCTTATTCATAGTCACGCTTTGTCTACCTAGGGAGTTTTGTTTGCGACCTTATACCAAATAAAATATTTATCATTTTATAACAAAATTAAATTTAATATCTAATTACTATTTTATGTTTACAGTAGGGCGTAAAACTCTAACGGATTAGCCCCTTTTTAAAACACTGTCATTGGAGTTTTGTACTCAGAGTAGCTGAATAATTAGTATTTATTTTAATAGTTATTCTTCCTCTTACTTATATTCTCAGGATGCGTTTCTTTATTCTTTATTTTAATTCATTAGTCTCTAAAACTTTTCACTTTATTATTATTTTCAATACACAATATTTCTACTGTACGTGTGTTTGTCACTCTAACTTTTCTAACTCCTTATGAACCACTGGACCGATTTGATTCACCTTTAGTGTATAAATTTTTCAGGAACCTATTTGTTACCTGAATGGTTTGAAAAAATAACGCCACCTGCGTTGTTTTTCTGTGGAGTACGACGTATGCTCGGTCCACTAGTTATGTATAATAATTCTGTCTCTATTTGAATTAGTGTTAGTTGGTAGTTTGTATTCACACTTCAACTTTAAAATGTAAAGTAACAACAAAAAGATGTAAAAGAGCTACACGCAAGTTTCTTACTCATTCTTCTTATGATGAGACAGCTTGCAAAAAGAGGTTGATTGAAAAAAAAAAATGTGATGACTATTTAAAAAATGCTTCAATGAAAGTTTATTTGAATAAATTATTTCCTATTCTATTCTTTCTATTCTACCATAAAGATTATAACCTACCTACCTAAATACTTTTATACAGGTCATACGCGATGTTAGTCTCATATAACCTAATCGGACTGTTTGTTTTTTTGTAAAATGCTAACTAAATATTTGTTAAAGTTCTTCTTGTTAAAGTTGTATTATCTTTCCAGAGCACTACGAGACAAAGTCCGTCCATTATCGATGAGAGCTCCACATTCCCGGGACTTGGGTTCGGGCCCATGGGTCCTGTGGTGCCGCTTCCCGGCGAGCCGCTTGGCACCCAATTGCGACAAAACCAGGAGACCACCACTGATTTACCGGCCACCATCAAGCCGAAGAAAGAAAGAACTTTCGTGATCGCTGCATTTGAATTCCACAGAGTGGAGACGCCATTTTTGATCGGCCTGTGGATCTTTTTTGCAAGTATTGCAAAAATTGGTGAGTTTGAAAACGACTTTACATTATATTATGTAGTATTTATTATTTTGTCGGTTATAACAGAATGGTGCACTCCTTTGCGCTAACGGTATACGCTGACGAGGCGCTAATGGATGATGTCGGAATGAATTAAATCTGGTCAGTTAGTCCAACATGTTGAATTTAACAAGATCGTTTGGAGGGGACTGTGCAAATCGATTGTTAGAAATGGATCACTAGTTTCCTTTCCTAACACTCCATTATCAATCCCCTCCCCCTTGTGTAGATAGATGAGATTCTTTTATTTTCGATAATTGCTTATTGTTTGTGGTTAAATAATCTAGTCCGAAGTTAATTAGATCTAGTCAGGGAAGTAAAGAAATCTCCACTCAAATGGAATTGATTTGTGTTCGATGTACCTTCACCTTTCTCCTAACCTACATCCCTTTTTAACTTCTCATTAAGCACATACCCCAATAAACATTTCAAAAGAAGTACTTACCTACTTATACATATATGTTTTCAATATTAGATAGAAGCAATTGAGATTAAAAGTTATTCTTAATACCTACGACTAGCGTCATTTGGGTTTGTGTAATACATCTGTGGTAATACTAAAGCGATATGTAATTTCTTGAAGCATCGAAATTTATTGTATGTAATTATCGTGTAGATTTGTTGCTTTGTTATTAATTCTTGTATAAACACCTACTAGGTATACTTAATTACGACCTTGTAATTAAATCAAAATAACTTATTCACGTGGATCATTTATAATATGTAGTTTTTAACCCACCATAATAAAAATATATGCTATGAGTAAAATAAATCCTGAATAGATTTTGACCAAATATACGGAACAACTATTGGATTGATATTTACAATCGGAATTGCTATATATTGATTTAAAATATAGCTATTGACGATACATCCAAGCCATTGTATTATGTACATATAAATAAAACAACGCTTAATGTTTTACAGAGTGATTTGATTTCGACTCTTATTTTTATTGGACAGGATACGTTAAATTTGGACTGGCGGAAATCGGATTACCCTGTTAAAACTTTTGTGTGGTTATTCATCTATACAGCGTATATTTAAAAGCGTCGTCAATGTCATACTTTAAACTTAGGACTTAATAATGCGTCACTTTTTAGAATAAATGTTCAATTTGTAATCAAGAGCGGTTACGCTCTATCCTTGAACCAGTTTCTTAGTAGACGTCTGAGTTTTCCTTCCCTTTGCGAAATGCGAACATTCATACCTTTTTGATGTGGGATATGTTTCAAGTAGTTTCGTATGTCACAACTCTATGTAAACGTAAATTGAAAAAGGCAACCTTAGGAACACTTGGCATCAATAAGCTATACCGATTTGAGAACTTTTGGTACGTATGGAGCGTCGCTTATCAATACTTACCCATAATGTATTTACCAACTACACACTAGATATATACGTATCTTTGTTACACATTTCTTTTAAATTCAGTAAAGCAAATAATTAGGCAATCCAAAGTTTACTGGAATAAATTATCCACTACTATACTCCTTCACTTCCTAAAAACTAACTCGTATTTTAAGTTTATACTGTACATTAAATTATCCTAAGTTCAACCATCACTTTCCACCTTCTTAACTGAGAACATCATTTTTATCCATAAAATAGCTGTACGAAGACAGTTTAAATTTTATAAATATTATAAACTCGAAAGTTTGTAAGTATGGATAGATAGATGGATGGATGGATGTTTGTTACACTTTCACGCAAAAACTACTGAACGGATTTTGATGAAACTTTACAATATAGCTTATATACCAGAATAACAAATAAGCTATAAATTTCATGAGGGTGAAACGCGGGCTCAGCTAATAATAAAAGATTTATACGTTATTAAATTATTTATATTTTAATAATTATATCACAAACAAATAACAATATAATACATTCTGTACGAATTTATCTTCAAATTTATATTTTTAATTTAAGCGTAATTTCAGTAGTGCAAACACTTTCTTGATAACCCTGTAAAATAATGGCTGCTTACTCGAGATTTTCTTCTTCGTTTCACAGTTAACATCTTTTTATATTTTCCTCTAAAGAAACTCCTGTGGGATTTCACTGTAAATATATTATTGTTAAATTGACATTTTGGATGTACGGATTTATCTACAGCTTTATTATTATGTACAGATATTTCGGAAGGAAACATTCCTGTGTATGTTGTGAATGCAGCAATATACGGGGATGTAGTAGGTTTTGGATTAAATCCATTTCGGTCGCGAGAGTTACGAGCAACAATTGCCTTGCTTGTTGGACACTGACTATCAATCCCCAAATTAGAAATCGACAGCGTTGATTCTGAACCCTTGTTACATGAAATGGGATTCGTGAACTTATCTTCGTATATTAAGGTGTGAACATTTGTATAATAATCTCCTTTTCTAACGTTTGCTAAATCAAATGATGTACTTGAATGTGTTGATTGGAGTACAGAATTCGTGTGTGAATAATTTTTGTTTCGGAATTGACAGCCAACATCTCTAATAAATATAACGGCTTCACTGCTCTCATGTTCTTTAGGTAAATTAGTTATATTACATTTACAGTCCAAACAATGATACTGACATGATTTATTTGATTTGTAGCAATTACATCGAGTCAGAGATGGAATCTGACAGGGAGAAAAAGAATTTGCTAGACAAGGTGACTTGGTATGTGTGCTGTACGGTGGCGATTGAAAACCATTTAAAAACTCACATGCATTCTGCACTTGAGAAACCATATTAATAGAATTATCCATATTACGAACACTATTAATATCTCTCTGGCATTCAGGAATGTACTTGCATCTTGGAATATGAGGGCAGTCATTATTTTCTATATTATCAACTTTCCTTGTAGTTTCGTCATAAAATAAATTTTTACATATTGGGACGCATAAAGGTAAATTGACGCAACGAGGTTGATGTAAACATGGAGGTATAAATTCACAATTGTTCTTTAATATATTTGCTCTCTGACATGAAGGCGCAACAGTACAGGGTGGATGATGTCTACATGCTTTAGTTATTCTTATTATACGTGGTGTAGACTTTGGACTCATTTTTTTTATATTAGGATTTACATAGATATTGTCTGTAGGTAATATTTGACAAATTGGAATTAACTCACAACGTGGTTCGTGTTCGCAAGTACCATCGTCATTTACTGGTCTATTCCGTATTGGTGAAGATCTGTAAGCATATGATTTTGATAGTATATTCCTAATTTTATATGATGATAAATTATTACATTTTAAGCTGTCTTCTTCTTCTGTAGTACTCATAATTTCTACTTTTTCCCTGCAATTAGGACATACTATTTTCTTGCGTCTTTTATTAGACTTACTAATAATGCTTCCACCTTCAATATTTTGCATATTATTCATCAGTTTTAAACTGTCATTTTGGTCGGAATCTTTAACGACAGGGTTGCTAGTTGTAGCAATATCAAAATTCTTAAATTCTCTGGCACTCGTAGGTTTATTTTCCTTTATTGATTCGTTTTTATTATTATTCACGTTGGTAGCTTTTATATTTTTTAAATTTTCAGAAATAATTTTTGATGTACTAGTGCTTTGATGAGCTACCATAAATGATTCACTGTTTTGTGCTAATTCAGTTAAGGACTTTTTATCTGAACACGGACAAGCATATGAAAATAATTGACAAGGACATGGATCTTCAGTACGTTTACCGCGATCTTTTTTCTTATGTTTTTTCTTTTCTGAAAGAGGATTGGTATATTCTGTGCGATACTTTGCATATGACCAAAATTTTTGTTGTCTATCACTGAGTTCTTTGTTGTTGTAATGACTATTTTTATTAGTGTCTGCATAGTCATCTCTTAAAAAAATTTCTGAGGAAATATCGGCATCATTAGGAAAATATTTTTTAATTTTCTTTGAATTTATTTCTATACTATCTTTATGTATAATATTGGGCTGTAGTTGTGTCCCACATTCTTGAACTATAGCATTGGCTTTTCCTTTGAATCCATTAGGGTTTAATGATATATTCATAACCTTTCGTACATTGGCATTAGATGAACTGAATTCGGAAATATAATGAAATGAGTGCCTTTTTGTAATATCGTCTAAGTTATAAAATAAAGTACTTGTTGAATGGATGATAGACTTATGACTGGAATCTTTGTTTAAAACGTGATATTTCTCACACGTAGTGTAAGATGTCTGATTTAACATTTCCGAACGTTCACTTGTGTACTTGGTGGATGTATTGTCACAAGTTGTTTGAAATATCGAAACATTGCCTCTTTTGGCATTCTTATACAGTGTATTATTGACGAGAGTAGATCCAAATAACTCATAAATACTAGTATGTGACTTCGCATGTGGTAATATCTTTTCATTGGTAACATGCATTTCACCTTATAAATGCCGTTGCAAGTTTTTATAGTAAATGTAAATGATTTACGTGATTCCGTATAACAATGTAGTTTAGATAATATGAAACTCAAGAACTGTAAGTTTTTGTCCACTTTTATTTAATTTATACATTTTGTATTTATTTTGTATGCTGTGACATTTTACCGTTTTTATCATAAATGACAACTGTTTATTTTTTAATAATAAGATTTCATATAAAATAATAATTGCAGGTTTTCATATGGCACCGAGATTTTCGAAGATGTTCCCCGAGTCATGTCTATTAATCTTCGTTGGGGTATTAATTGGTGCGTTGTTGTTAAGCACCCATAGCGTGCACGTACAACCGTTGACGCCTGACACATTCTTCCTCTACATGCTACCACCGATCATTTTGGATGCTGGATACTTTATGCCCAACAGACTATTTTTCGATCACCTCGGAACTATTTTATTATTTGCAGTAGTTGGGACTGTTTTTAATACTTTAACTATCGGTAAGTTAATGCCTGTTTACAATACCTGTATTTTTTAAATATTAATGCTGTACAATATATATCCGCAGTAAGTTGTGAGAATATTATATTTAAAGTTGATGAACTTTAAGTGATATTTTCTCAAAACTGTTTTTTACGCCGCACAAGGTATAACTACCTTGTGCGGCAGATTATTAGAGCATTCGAATTAATCCTATAAAAATACATATATAAATATTGCATTATCATTACAGTTCATAATAAATTGGTATTGTATTATTTACGGATAAAAAATAAAAAATATTTGTTCTGACTGACTTTACTACTATCGTATTATTTTAAAATAAAAAGAAAATATTTCTTTAAACATTTCTTATATTACATGTTTAAAAATATATATTATTTGTCAGGTGCATCTTTATGGGCCTGTGGTCAAACTGGAATGTTTGGATGCAATACTCCACTACTCGATATGCTTCTATTTGGTGCTCTCATCTCAGCGGTAGATCCAGTTGCCGTCCTGGCTGTTTTCGAAGAGATCCATGTTGATGAGGTCTTGTATATAGTAGTTTTCGGCGAATCACTCCTAAATGATGCCGTCACCGTGGTTTTGTATCATATGTTTGAAGCTTACACGTAAGTAATAATGATTATAAAAATACATATACCTACATATTTACAAAAAATAGTAACAGTTACTATGTATCTAACTGTGAACTTAGAAAATTCGACATATCTTGTAGCCTCTGCTCTCTCACGTTGAATATGACAATATATTACAAAATTAGCGTTACCACATCTGCAGTCGGACAACTTAGAAAAACTCTGAAATTCGAATATATGTCCTGCCAACACCACACCGTAACTGCCCACTCAAATTGCAATATCCTGTAGCAATCTTTCAGTAAAAAATAATAGTGGCATTACATAATTTCCGGAGTTAAAAAAGCTAACACATAGAAATATAAATAAATTAGTAGTCACATTTCTGAAAGCACAGGTCGTCTCTTTCTGTAGTTTAATATTCATTATTATTTACCGTAGAGTAAACTGCAAGTATTTAAGGGGGTCTTCCTATGTGACGGCCTGTTTTTTAGGGATATTTTAGGATTTTTTTCTACGACCAGTAAATATTTAGAGCTTCAAGTTTTTTATCATTTATTAACACATATTTGGACAGTATAAATATAAAATTTCAGCTAAAAATATTCAGTCAAACTAGAGTTACAGCGCTCTGAACACCCCCGCCTCGAAAAAAAAAAGAGCTCCCACTTCCTCCACGATTCCGGCTGATCGGCTTATCTGAAAAAAAAAAAAAAAAACGGCGTTTTAATTTGTAGGCTTAAAAGCACGGAATGACCTATAATCAAATGAATATAAAAAAAATTGGATTTTTGATAGACATTTGAAATAAAAGTTGCAAATTAGGCGTTTTTTTTTTCGAAGTTTTGAAAATTTTCGATTGATAATAGTTCATTCCATGCGTTTACATATATTGAGTGTGCTCTGTAAATTTCAAGTAATTCGGTCCAGCTGTTTCTGAGATACAATGGAGGAAAGTTTGAAAAACACAGTTTTGAGAAAAACGCGTTTAAAGTTTCAAGTCCGTTAAAAACTATTAAAATATCAACTTACTCTCAATCGGCGATGCCTGGTCCATAGAGTATTCCTTCCTCTTCCTCGTGAAACTCTTTTAAAGCAGATTGTTCAGCTCTTGAGTCAATCCTGGCTTGTTTAACGACATCACTTACGCGCCGCTCAGAGCGTAAGATTCGCTTTTCATCCCGTTTCTCAACATACGCTTGGGCTTCACGACCAACAGGGCATCCCATAATCGACATAACTTTTAAAATACCTTGAAAACCTTCATTAAAGATAATAACTGCTAAGTAGCTAGCAATTTCAACAACTTTGGGACCAGAATGAAGATGTTTAGGAGCGAAAGTCTAAAGCCTAGGCCTCGGAAACTTGATCGCGAAATAGACACGTCACTTTTACAAGTTTTACATATAACTATTTCAGAGATTGCAGCAAATACAGAAACAAACTCCAAAATGCAATATGCGAAATTCGAAGCGATGGGAACATTCATGTTCATGTTATTTTTAAGTTTTTTGGCCGAAGCTGATGTAAATACCGTATCATTTTGGTGGGTAAAACGGTTTCCACTAAACTTTCTTTTTTTACTACGACCAGGATGAACATTTCCACTCGTACTTCCTTTCCGTCCACTCATTATGAAAAAAAATAATTTGTAGCTGTTGCTCTCTTCGAAGTTCAACCAAGACTAAAATAACTTCGGTAAAATATTATAACAATAGAAATTTCTGTTTAAGTCTGTAGAAACGTGTCTAAACTTGTATAAACAAATATATTAATAAAAGGGAGGCCAGGTATAAAGCCGACGGTACACAATAGGCCCGGTCTCTAACTGCCAACTCACCGCTCCGAACCGCTCTTTCTTTTACCTGCTGTATCTTTAAAACGACTTCGAATTTTCTAAAATCGCTTTACTACCGTATTCTAGACATGTTAAGGGGGCAATTTATGAAAAAAAAAATCGATTTTTTCAACCCATCACATAGGAAGACCCCCTTAATATGCGTATAATTTGGTTGTAATTAATAATCATATTTCAACAGGGAGATGGGTCCTTCCCGTCTGATGTACACCGACTTCCTAGCTGGCTTGGCCTCATTTCTAGTAGTCGCGTTGGGAGGTACTTGCATTGGTGTTGTTTGGGGTTTCGCCACGGGCCTTGTTACACGATTCACACACGAAGTCCGTGTCATCGAGCCCATTTTTATCTTCGTCATGGCATACTTAGCGTATTTGAACGCTGAAATGTTCCATATGAGTGGAATACTTGCGTAAGTATTACGGTTTATTAATTTTGTTATTCATAACATTATTATTTTTTCATTATAATTGACTTTGCAAATTTACCTGCAGTCTGGCAAAAAAGTATTAACTTAAAACAAATTTAACAGTGTTTTAGCCAAACTTCTTATACCATTATTAGGATAAACATATTTATCGTGGTACAAACACTGATGTTATTTTAACACAATCAAACAAATAATTTCACAGGATAACATTTTGTGGTATTACCATGAAAAATTACGTAGAGGCGAATATATCGCACAAATCTCACACAACAATCAAGTACACAATGAAGATGTTATCGTCCTCGTCGGAGACTATCATCTTCATGTTCCTTGGTGTTGCCACAGTGAATAACAACCACGATTGGAACACGTGGTTTGTGTTGCTCACCATTGTTTTCTGCTCAATCTTTCGGATTATAGGTAAGACATGTTTAGTTGTACATGTTAAGTTTAGCAAAATGTAGAACTTGTTGATGTAGAACACTAATTTTTTCGATTAAAATTTTAATAATTATCAATATGTTTATAAAATGTTCTTCTTGGAACTTAATTTGGAACCCTTCTTGTAATGTACCTATCCGCAAAGTAAGACTTTGGCTACGTCGTCAGGGAGAACTTTCGGAATCTAACCCATAATTTATTCATAAAGTGTCACTTTTCACGGGGTCTCTACTTTATTCATTAATTTTGTAAGAGCATAAAAGTTTGGAGTCTGCAAATTTAGTGACATAATGCTCTTGTAATATTTTCTGTGCCAGTCTAAATAATTATTAAACAATCCATATTTTTTTGTTACAGGCGTGTACATATTTAGTGCAGTAGCTAATAAGTTTCGATTACACAAACTAAATAGGGTCGAAAAATTTGTTATGTCGTACGGAGGTAAGAATTTGTTTCTACATAGATCTTTTTTATGTTTCAAAAATTGTGTATTGATACAAATGTTTTTACTAGGTCTGCGAGGTGCGGTTGCTTTTGCATTGGTGCTATTAATAGATCCTGAAGTGGTGAAGCTTCAACCTATGTTCGTCACCACCACTATAGCAGTAATATACTTTACGGTATTCATACAGGGTATCACGATTAAGCCCTTAGTCAAAATACTAAATGTTAAAACAGCAGAGAAGAGGAAGCCGACCATGAATGAAAGGATACATGAAAGGGTAAGTTAAGTTATATTTTAAAATTACGGGAAAGGGCAACCAAGTCTCGTGGCCTATAACTGGCTAACCCTGGTGTTTCCATCCAAATGTCAAACAATGATTATATTAATCATATGTCAATATATGAATAGGTCAGAGTGTTAAGAACGATACAGTATATTCTGAGATTACTTTTAGGCTTACCTTTTATTTAGATAAATTTGAATTCTATATTTCCATTTCATTGTATATTTTGGATATTATATTTATTTTTTTAAGCTTTTTAATTTTAGGTCCTTAGTTGTACAATTAGGTTATGTAAATACTAGTAATAATAAATATTGGACATTGATGTTACTTACTGTAATTTTTTTTATTAAAATTATCTCAAGTTTGACGTTAAAAAGATTTTAATTATTACAAAATCCAATTCGTGTTTTGAATATTAATTCATCAAGATATCATCTTAAGCTTAAAAATGTAAATCCTTGTCTACGTGGGTACCTCAGTCTGAAATATTTATAAGCCTCCAAGTAACTTGCTTTGTAAGCTGTGTTTCGGTTGTAGGAAGAAAGTAGTCAGTAAAATTACGCGATACGAGGACTGATACCTTAGTCCTCTGGAATGGCAATGAGTCTTATTACAAATGTCACTTGATAACTCGATGTCCATAGTGCTGTTCATGTATATTATATAGGCTGTGTTCATGTATATTTGGCAGGCTATGGTATATTTGTTACTGTTTACCAGTTTATCAGTTAGGCCATCAGCTTGTTTGCCATTACAATTATATAAAGCAATCCAAAGGTTTTTCTTAGTCTAGTTTATAAGTAATCTACGTCATAAAGATTTTTATAATTTCAGTAGCTCAGGAATGATACTACACATCTAATATTTTTATATAATTGGTATTTAATGTTCTGGTTTTATTAGAATTATGAATGTCACTCCTTTTTCAGTTTATGGACCACTTGATGGCAGGTGTAGAGGATATCTTAGGTAAACACGGTAATCATCACATGCGTGACAAATTTAAGAGATTTGATAATCGATTTATTAGGCCGTTTTTACTTAGAAATTATCAGGTAAGATAACATTTCAGAATATTACGTCAAAATTAATAAAAAATATAGTTACTTGATCATTTTATGTATATATACACATGCATTTTATAATATTCCAGGGTGCAGAACCAAAAATTTTGGAAACTTACTCAAAATTAGCTATGAAAGACGCTATAGAGTATATGCAAAGAAACGCTTCAACAATTGGTAACATATCTGGCGCCGAATCGATGTCAGCTATATTTAAAAATTATACGAATGCAAACTTAAATGGAAGGTTAGTCAAATTATATAAAATTGTAGCTATTTGCGCAGCACTATATATTTCTTTTTAATTTGACTGATGCTACCTTTTCTGTAACTTATGGATATATGTATAGAGTTATTGATAAATAATATCTTGCACCACGTAGTTGCATTGGTAATTCTTTTTATATTAAAAACAAAACTAATTTCAGGGAGGGATTTAATAAAGTAAGAGTAAATAATAGTAAATGTAATGGAAAGAATTTTTTATCAATGTATTGCTAAAGATGTGACATAAAATATGATAGGCTTTTTACCGCAGCCACGCCGAAAATATCTTTTCCGTGTGCGAACCAAGATTAGGTTGCTAGTTTTTATAATTACTAGTGCAACGGACATATATTTTTTTAAATTAGGACCATTACAGTGTAGTACGCGGAATATTATGGTATTATATTTACTTTTTCAGTTAATTGCCAAATGTGTTACTTAATTTGTTTTTGCAGTCCAAGCTTTAGTCAACTGGACTCCTCAACATGGAATATAGATATGCAAGAATTGGAATATAATCCATCTAAGAAAGACTTAACTGATGCCAAAATTCATCACTTGTTAGCCGAGGAATTGTGTAAACCCTTTAGACGTGTAGGTATCACCAATGTACTTAAATTTTTATTTATATTAGAATGAGTACTATTCTATTATAGTAGACGCGAAAGACTGTGAGGAAAGATATATGTTTGTCAATCTGTCACTCAAAATCTACTGAACGGATTCGAATGATGTATGACAGATAGATGTGTAATAGATACGAGTACATCAAAACTTCACCCAAATTTACGGTAGAAACCGTGCAAGATGTTTCTTGTATAGTCATAAAAATCGTTGCGAGAATATCATATTATAGCTGTTTCGAATATCCAAACCACGTTTACAAGTTTTGTACATTTATATAATTTCAGGCATAGTTTCAGTTAATTTAGTGCTACCATTTATGGTTATTATATTTTTTAGCATCGGCGACTCAGCTACAGCCGTCATGCTGTAAATGATAGGGACCTCGGTATTCAGCAGGTGAACTACAAGACACATATGAACATACGACGGCGTGTTGGCGATCGAAAGCATCACCATAAACGCAGTAAACGTGGAAAGCAGGTATTTTCCGTACATATTCAATTACTATATTTTTAGAGCTATCTTTACTACTATTTCTGTTGTGAAGAAAGGTCCTTAATAATTGTGTTAAGTTTAAAGAAAATGAGATTGAAATTACAGGGTACAAGATACAAGGAATGGGTACACATAAAAAGCAGCACAGTCGTTACATCGTCATAGAAAGAAGAGTGTTTTACGTATATTTGTCATAAAATTTCATTTTTTATTGTTCTTATTTTTATATAATAACATAATTGGTTGTTATATATTTTCAGGATGGCAAAAACCATGTCACTTTCCCCGAATTCCAGCAAAATGGTTCGGCTAAACAGTTCACGCACGGTAAAAAAAAGTATTATAGATTAGGTACTTATTTTATACTTTTTTAATATCACGAGTGTCGATCGCATGCACGTGTGGGTCCAAATTATTTTGTTCTTAATTATATAATATCATTATTACATTATTTTGCAGAGCACACGAGCTTTGTTTTACACTAGCGATATAAAAAACACACGTGAATATTAGAGTTACATTATAACACGAGATTTTAATTTGTAGTGCATGTTGTAATTATATTTTTAAATGTATTGAACAGCAATTAATTATGATAAGAGATTTATAGGTTTCAAATTACCACTGCTTAATATTTCATAGAGTGATGATATATAAATAAGTACGAGTATATTGAATTTAGACAATGTAGATTACAAAACTGTATCTAGATTACATACATTGATTCGCACAAGTTTGCGGTTACGATTCCGCAGCATTAGTGTCAATTTGAGGGATGTGTTACAGACTACATTGACGAGGTGCTGCAGGAGGACTGTGAGGAGCGGGAACCTCGCCGGGAAGGCGATGATGGCGGTATTACATTTACTGCCAAATCCCCGCGTAGGTATTCTGCATGACGCCCTGTGTGAGATTACGTTTGGAATTGAATATTAAATTAATCATCTGGTTCCAAGTGATGCACGCTACAAGTTACAATTATATGTAATCAATGTAGTTTAATTAAAATCCAGGTTAACAACCTGTTTGTTTCCAAATACATAAAACCAGATGATATAGACTTCATTGTATGTATATTATAATGAACAATGGAGATTTTTACCAATTATTAATATAGAATCAAAGATTGATATTAACAACTAATACGGTAACAATAATATTAATAAAAGTTTCAGATTAATTCAAATCCAAACAGTATTAAATGTTGTGGACCAAATGTACTTTCACTTAATTTGCACTTCAGACTATATAAACGGTGAATTTTAATATAAATGTTTACCAGCCTTATTAACATAATGGTAATTTCATTTGCCGGGACCTGGGTCTGGTGGCTACCAACTGTGAGAATGTGCTGATTCGTATTTGTGGTGGCATGTTATAAATTTCTAATCTTCTATATGTAATCTTTACTATTTTGTGTATTAAGAACAAGAGCTTTACTTTTAACTTTATACGGGACTGCTTCAACTTCTTATTACTAAAACCGATTTCATTTAAGATTAAATAACAAAAACAATGATATCATAATAGATTTGTCTACAAAGTTAATAACAACCGTAATGACATTAGTTTATATTGCTTACACTTTAGTAGACCTAACGCATTATATAGTCGCTAATTGCTTACTTAGAGGCAGCTCCGTATTAAGCAGTACCTACTTTTGAAAATCTGTCTCTTAACACTATCGTAACGTCCGCTAGACTCCACAGTGCCAGTTGCTCCCGATTCCCATGTATCTGCTCTTCATTTCTGCTTGTTAATATTGTTTGTTTGATTGTCATTTTCTTCCCTTCTGGCAAACTTCATGTGGCACCGCAAACTAACGATAATCTCGACAACTGGCGATGTTAAGCTGGATTTAAAGAAGTCAGTCCGACGTCCTCACATAAAGAGAATAGTAGTTCGCTTTTAAACCAGTTGGCTAACCTGCCTGGATTCAATCCTTTGAAAGCGAGAATCGTTAAACAATATGCTAAAACACCTGAAGAGATACTGCCGACAGCTGTTGAGAAATCCTTACCGTGGAGAAGGGACAGATCCACGTATAATTTTGGTATGTGTTTATTGAAAACTAATCATTTTTGTCATTGCCTACTGCGTCTGATGATCTTAAAGAGTTCGAAATGACTTACATTAATGCAATAATACTTCGTATTCAGACATCTCTCATTAAAATGATCATATAGACAATTTGAAGAGTACAATAATTCTAAATCAAATTATTTAGTTTTATTACATGCTCTATGCTGAATTAGGTTTAATGCTTTTTATTTAGTATTACTTTCAATGAGTTTTTAATATTGGGAAGAATTGAAGGTAACGAGTATGACGCTAAATTGTACACTTTCCATGCTTTATACTATTGACACTGTAACTAGTTTGCAAGTAGGCACTACGAATACACATTTAGTTACATTTAAATTTCGTAGTCATAATGCCTATTAATGTTTAAATATTTTACTTTATTATTTTTCTCTCATAAAAAATATTATTTTATATGCCTGTTATTGAAAATTGGTGTATTATATATCTGATTAATTATAACATTATAAAATCTACATTATATATAGGCATCTACATAGATTAATCCATAGTTCACAGAAAAATTGATTAAAACATCACATTTTGGTTACTGCGAGCTAGAAATCTATTATGTGTAATGTAGATAGACGTAGAATAAATATTCTGAATAAATTAGTATCACTTTTAAGTTTACTAGAGTAAGCTTATGGACAAACTAATGTCATTTAACATTCAATATATTGTCGAAAGATTTAGAGTTTTTTAGTAGGTACTCTATTGTAATAAAAACAATATGGTGCATGTTTGGTACTTATTAGATGCAATAGGACATTACTAAACAAAGTATTATATAGTTTACTGTTCCCCCTACAGTAATAAAAATAGTACCTAATTCCAGTTGTTGTAAGTTACAAGTAAGACAGTATTTCATCAGGCGCTAAAAAGGTACTTCACATTAAGAAAATAATAAAATTGCATGTTACTACACTATTAAACACATACTATATTTATCTTCTAATTTCTAGATATACGTAGGTACTTCAACTACTTTTTTCTTGCTGTGTGATATATTTTATTACCTATACATCCACTGCTTTATTAGTTTTAAGTTCACATCTATGACGAAGACAACTTTAAAAGTTATTTTAACTTTTAATACTACTAGGAATATTATGATATAAGTATATATTTCTGAATGTCTATTCTATAAGTAGATATTTGAAAGTTTCGATGTAAAAATAGTTATGAAATTAATTGTTGTTCAATTACTGTATTAATAATACACTTTTTTTTATTATGGTTGTCTGTGTCGTAGATTTATATACAGTATATTAATTATGCTAATTTACGAAACGTAAGTACAGCATGGATTATTATTTAAATTAATTTATTTATATTGAAATATTATATAGAATATATTATTTAAGTCTCATCATAACAATGGAAAAAGACATATGAAAATCAGTCATCACATAATTCAAGATAAGTTATATAAAAAAAATAACTATATAATTCAAAATATGATATATTAATAAGTATCTTATTTTATTAAGTAAATAAATACTATTTATATCTTTTAGTGCCCAATGAGGATATCCTTGAAGAGGACGAGAGGAGAATGTCGGATGAAAACGGTATACAAATATATTTATATATAAATATTTATTAATAGCGCTTTAAAAATTATTATCATTTCTCCAATTTGCTTTTTTGGAAACGTTATGTCGTTAAATTTCACAAATCTAGTCACAATTTTGATATCGTTTTCGAAACTTTGATATATTAACAGCGATTAATATTGGCATTCAAATAGCACCCCTGTCATGATAATAATAACCCCGAAAATACAAAGCCTATTTAGTCCAAAAAGCTACAGCTTAAATTTGAGCTTGTGTTATGGGTATTATACTACCGCTACATACGTACGCTTAATACTCGTACGTAAATATTTTTATAAAACACCCAGGATATCATATTAATGAATACAAATGTTTATGCGAGGAATAGAACCTGCGACTTCTAAAGTAAGGCGGTGTGTAAAGCACTAGACTATCTAGGCCTAATATAACATATTGTTTAATAAAAAAAAATAGAGATCTCTAACATATTTGCACCGGGTGGGATCGAGTGTACATATCTATTCCTAATTAATATTAGTATGTAAATAAATATAATATTCTATAAAATCGTGATTAGACATCAGATAATTTCACTTACAGACACGTACATGACTGTGGCGGAAACAGCACGGGTCGCCACCCCTACTGCTACGGAGACCATGTTGCCATGGAAACGAGAGGAGGCAGAGGGTTCCGGCGCACTCAAACAATCCGAGTTCCCGTCGTGGGCATCCAACAAAGAATATCTCGCTTATAGCTCCCCCTCGGCTACTTTCCTAGGTGAATAATTCAATCAATAATGATAGACATATCACGCAGCGCCATCTAGTAACAAACTAATTGGAGTGTATACCGTGGATACTATAGTTACTTTTAGGTTATTGTACAATTAATTGTAATCTACCTACGAAGGCAATTTTTTATAAAGCCTAACTGAGATCAGTCTAACCAATTTCTGTGGGCAAATAGCTTTCTTTGTAAGTTGTGTTATGGTTCAAGAATGAGAATAAGCAGTTAAATACAAAATATAGACGCAAAAATATTCGACCCAATACAATAAAAAGTAATGAATATTATGTTGGTATCGTAAGGGAGTTCTACTCGCGACTATCACTATAAATATTTGATCATATGAATTTTGTTAAAATTTAATTAAAGTTAAAGTTAAGATTGTAGTCAATAAATCATATATACATGAGGTATATATGCAAATAACTCTATAATTCCATCATGACGATATATGTATAATCGTCTACATATATTTATAATATTTTATTATATAAAAGGACTACCGGATTTAATTTCTCCGACTTTCATAATAAATTTATTATATATACGACGAAATCTAAATCTTATCTATATTTTTTTGCTGTTATTTAGAATAATATGTATTTATATCTAAAATATTATTACTTTGCATGATGTTTTGTCTTAGAAAAGGATCGATTTTAGCTCTACCTTTTTATGACCCTCATCATAATTCTATTGTCACAAACATAATAGCCTATTTAATTAAAAGTAAGTTTATATATTTAGATGCATCAATAATAATTTATTTTCCATCCTACACTATTTAATAAAGTATCTATATACATGTAACATATTCTCATTTATTTTTTTCTCTTTTCTCCTTTCCTCTCCTCTGCCTACGTAAAAATACCTCCATTATCATCACCCCACAAATAGGTGGTATAGAGAAGCCAAAACATCCAAAATCTATCATAGGTCTCTTCAGAAGAGAGAGTTCTGGCTCGGCGCAGGGGGCTATGGAGGCTGCAGCATCAGACTCTGATGGAGGGAGTAGGGGGGAGAGCAGCAAGGCAGATACATTATCTAACAAAGGAGAGAGTACAGGACAATTGCGACCAGGACCTAGTATGCTATCTAAGAGGAGCACCAGCCTTGGAGGTCCTTCAGTGCTGCTGATGGAGGACGTCGCTCACTCCGACCCATTGGGTGCATCGTCTCGCCCTGCCAGCATAATGCAAGGGCCGCATCGAGGACAATGCAGGCGGGGGTCAATGTTGGAATTAACTGGGTAAGGACCACACATTTGTATTGCAATAATGTCTTATATGATTTATTAATTTATTCTTTATTGTACACACACACACATAGTTAATGAAATTATATAGAATAAATTTAATGTACAAGGGCGAGCTTATCTCTAAAAAGAGATTTCTTTCAGCAAACCTAGAAAATGTTATAGGATAGCGTATTAAATAGAATAGTCATACATATGTGTACGAAAAGAGGAGATATTAAAATATTGTTCTAATGATATTAACTATAAGTATCAATAGATATACATAAATATATAGACATACATAAATGGTACATAAATAAATTATAAGACATAAGTTAAAATTTATGTATAATATATAAATATAAAAATACGTCAGCATTGCGAAAGCTAATACGTTTTTAATCGGCTTTTGAATATTGCAATACTAGAACTGGCACGTATTTCGTGAGGTAAAGAGTTCACAATCGAATATTATGGCTGAATATGATTGATGAATATAATTTATTAATATTAAATAAAGTCCTCTTTGTGCCTGAAATTTGAATAAATATTATTTTTATGACGCTTATTAAATTGTAAACCAATTACAAATAATTAATAAACTCTCACTTTTTTATTTATAATTTAGCAGGTAAATAGTATGTATGCCGTAATAATAGGTACACCTATCCTACTATTCGTGGGTAAGGATTAATTGGTTATGCACGTCATCAATGTATGTTCAGTGTCTGGTGTGCAATATAACAGTGAAAGTGTTCCCAAAATCCTGAAAATACTAGAACGATACGAAGAATGGCTTCTATTGCTTGGTAATAAATTATATGGTATCTCTATTAATGATTTTTTATTTTAATTCGTTATTTCCAGATCCTTATCTCGCGATGCCATCACAGAGGAAAAGTGCAGTAAATCATTACCAGAAAGCGAACGTATGGGAGTTAGGCGGCTACCACTCGGGCAGCAAAGTCTACCACGGGAGCCTTTTATTCGCCAACTCACCATGGCGTCCACACTCCTCACTAGTTCATCTTCCGACGAATCTTCTGACGAAAACACCTGAGTACCCCGTCGTGGTGACCCGGACAGGTTACCACTTCTGAAATACAGAACCCTAGAGTAAAGTGAATAGACATTGAGTGTAATAAACAGTTTCTAAACAGTGCTGTGAATTTGTGGTGTTGTTTATTAAATTAGCTCTAATAAATTGACTTAAATGCGCGTTAAGCACAACTTAATTGTGTATATACAAACAATCACCTTTGATAAAATACACAATTAATTACACAAATTGAATGTTTATGAAAATACCATTAATTAATTGAATTGAATTAAGTTAATTTGTGTTTGGTTATATATGTATTTAATTCTATGTTTTAGATCTAACATTATTTCAGTCTGTTAACATCTTTCCTCAGTGAATTTATTATTGAAAATCATTAATTTACCTACTATATATATGTATATCTAATTTGACTTTTAGATAGATTATTTTTGTATGATATTCTAAAGTAAGTATTTGAATGATGCTGATAATATATTACTTATCAATATTATAGATATTTTGTTAATTTTAAATGGCCATTGTTGCTAATGACAATATAAAAAAATTGCCCACAATGTAATGTAGATAGGTATATATAGTTTTTTAGTTAGGGCAATTTATAATGTATTTTAAGTGTCACATATAAATATTTAAAGCATCTACACGTGACAAGACTGGGCCTCCAACCGAACCGTCAGGCCAATCTGTTGGGCTGATATCATGTACTGTTTCAATATATGTATATCAACTATGCATTCATCTGCCGACCCCATTCTTTTCAGCTTGTATTGTCAGATCGCATTATGCCACACCATTTAATTGGGCCTTAAGAATTTGTGTAGATCCAACACATGGGCACTAACCCCCTCCGAGCGATAATCAAAATCCTTACGGGGATCGAAATTTCGACAGCCTGAGCCGAGGCTCGAACTCCTAGCGGTGCCTAAACTCAGGCTTAAGACGTATCCGTCAGGCGGGAGTTGGCCTTCAACCTCTCCATAAGTCCTTCCGCGGGTTTAGAGTGCCATCTGCTACCCCCTATCGTTCGGTGAAGCTGTAAAGGTCGGCTGTGGCCGAGGGCTTTAAAAAAGTCCGAAAAAGAAAGCATCGGCTCTAATAAATGACTGTCAAATCATGTCGTGTGTAGGTTCTTTGACTCTTACTTTTTATACTTTTTTTTTAATAATATGATATACTTGTGGTTTTATTATTCCGTAGTTAAAAGTGTAGAGAATAGAACTAAATGAATACCTTTTTTTAAGAGGTGTTCTATGTTTAGACTGCTGTTTTAACGTAGATATATACAGTTGTTTTTGCATTCTAGATAACATTAAAATATCTTTAAAATCCTATAGAACAACATTTACTGAATTTAAAATATATCTATACTAGCTTTCGAAGCAAAAGAATTTTCAAATTACTGCTGTGTATAATTGTAATATGAATATCCAGGGATTGCAATATATACCTCTCATAATATACTGCTAGTCTGTGTTAATTACTATAAATATGCAAAATGAATATTGAACACCTATCTTGCACTTTACCCAGGTATATATGGTAAAATAAATAGGTATAAAACAAATCAAGGTAACGGCCCATAAAGATATTCAAATACAAGCTGTTTATAGAATCGTGATTAAGTTATGAACATCTAAACATTTTTTACAAATTGTTATATCAACTTATTTATTTATTTTTTGCCTAAATTTACTATTTGCAATATATTTACCTACTGTAGTGTAGGTACACTTCAGGGATGGATGGAATATCGTATATTTAGTAATAGCTAACAACACTTCTAATAAATACTTCGAAATAAATCACAAATGAATTTCATTACTGCAAATTATTTTAGTGCCAATTTTATTTAAATAAGTAGCTATAATATGTACTGGAAAATATAATATTATATAGAGGTGCTTAGGAAATTATAACTATAGGCTTATTTAAAACAGACAGATGTCCTGACTACTTCATTTATAGTTTTATCTTAAAAGTACGTAAATTAATTCTGACTACAATTAACGTCGGCCCCAGCAGTAAAATATATCAGTCTAAAATGAAGTTACACGTACATCCGGCCTATCCTGACATAACCGGGCCTAAAAATAATTAAACAGCGTTGTCATGTGTGCTATTATATATATTTATATAACTAGTACAATTCTATATTACATAACATTTGTTTAATTTTATTACTTAGTTACAAAGATTAGATATGCATGTAATTAGATTTTCATCTTTTACATATACCTAGTTTATTCCAAGATTATGCAGTTACTAGCATCCACAGATAATATGATGACCATTTTTATCAATACTACTAATCTCACTAAACACACAAGTGCTGATAGCATATACCAAAAGGTGTTATGTTCTGCCCGTTCCTTACCCATAACAATAAGCGCCAACAGGATTTTTTAAATTCTTTGTTAATCTGTCATTCACAATTGGACATCAATGTTTTCGGTATTGAAATAATTAGATATAAAGCTTTTATGATAATAATAATGTTAAATAGTTAGTAAGATGATGTAACTGTTTCTAAAACAAACTTATGGAAATGTATATATAATATTTGTCCCGTTTGTAAGTAATTAGTACAATAATAGTTAGTAGGTATTTAATTGATGGATATAGATATTTTGTTTAAAATCTATTTATTGAATTGGATCCATATACTTTTGATGTTTGTAAAAAATATGTTCGTATAACTTTTCATCTAAACCTCTTAGATCTAGTGCTTGTTTTATGTCAGATGCATATAGATGACTTTTGACGGAATTCGGTGCTAAAAACCATGCTATGCATCTGACTTGGAACTGAAATATTTTCTAGTTATTAATGAATAATACATTAATAATAATAATATTTTGTGAATCTAATATGGAATTTGTAGTAACTTATTGCATGTACTTAGTCCACACCAGCATAATTTGTCGTAATCTTTACATCAACGTAATGCTTTCGTGCATTTTCATAGCATGCACAATTTTGATAAATATACATACATATGTGTCCCCCTCGACAAAGTAACGAGGGTTGTGATATTGTATATAAGTACATAATAATTACAATAAGAGTTGCTTATTCAGTATACTTTTATAATTAATTGTTGAAATTGTACATAATAAAGATACAACATCGACAATAGTATAGTTAGTGTGTTTTATGTTATCATTGTTTGTCGATTGGGATGTATACCTAGCAGAAGTAGTTAATTTGGGCGGATAGGAATAGGAATTTATAACTTTACCATAGAGAAAATCTTAGAAATACTTCTCTTATTTTGTGAATGAACTCTGGTCTCTTTATTGGTTGATATCAAATACTGAATTCCGTTTTAAATATCATATTTTATTTCATTGTACGTACCTATACTGTATAATTACACTTGGCATGTAACTCGCTTGGAATTATCTATATCTATAAAATCGACATCATGTAACGTTATGTAACTGAAATGTATTAATAGCATGTCAAATTGTGTTAATAATTAAAACACCATCATTTTGACACTAAATATCGCTGTAAAAGTAGTAAATAGTGTAGTAACTTGATGAACTATGCGTATGTATTTAACGTACTTATTAAATATGAACGGAAATAAGAGGAACTTTATCATCACATTCTACAAAGGAGAGTATATATATATATACCTACCAATTTGAAAGGATATCAATGTTCATACAAAGCAGACTCAGTATTAGAAAACCAAATAGTATTATGTAATTAAGTATCTGTAAAACTATTTAATAGTTTAATCTCATGCAATATCATTATGGAAGCTTTTGTAAGAATATGGCGTGTCAATTGAAAATAATAGTGCCTATATTCAACACGTTATTATAAAAATGTAGTTGACACTTACGCAATGATCGAGTGTGCGAAAAATATTGTTACCATACAGTTTTAGCATTGACAAGAACTTCTGAACTGCCTAGAGGTATAACATTCTAAAATTTTTATGTAAGTTTTATAGAAAAAAAATAGAATACAGCTAACACGAATTGGAAACTGTGAATCTATAGATCATTTTGATGTAGGTACTAAGTACATAGTGAATGTCAGTTAGAATTTGGTGAAATATTTTTCTTATTGATCTCTTCATCCTGTAGATTTTTTTATAGAGCATTTTGTTATAGGTAATAAATAAGATTAGGGGCTGGTGAAATATTTTATTAAAGATCTCGTATGCGACATACCTGTTCTTTCTTTTCTTAATAAGTAAGTATAGATTTTCCCTCCACCCTTCTTATATGATATACCTACAACATAATTAAAGAGAAACTTTATGACTTGCAATTTTCAATAAAACTAAATACTTTGGATTAGTACTATTTTGTTTATTTCCGCACTCATTTAAGTTTGTATTCACATGTTTGAAACCAAATATATTCTGTGCGGGAATTTTAACCGTTATTGTATCTACACCCATTTTGCGAAATGTGTTTAGCTTCTGAATGAGGCATCATTAAGTAATTCAGATATACATAGCTTGGAGCCTAATAGCAATTAATAGAGCTCGAATACGCGAAGAATAAGGCTTGGAAGCTTCCAAGTTATACCTAATCTTCGGTAATAGGTAGACGTGGTACAAAATCATCTGCAGAGTCGCTAAGCAGCTTGAAATATCAACGTCTGAGGAATTGGGAGATCACTCACTTCCTATGGTGCTGTTCATGTTTATAGATGATAATAGCCATTCACCATGTGGTGGTATATTTTGCATACCATACAGGAATAACAATTTTGAGTCATTTTGTTGAGGCCGTGGATATAGTGACTTGTATGTAATATTTTCAATAGCCGTTATTAGGTATTGGTACCTACAATATGATACTTATTAAATAATAGATGACTTGTCCTCATTGCTATTTTTCCGTTTTAATGCAATGTCACTGGCCACTTTATTATGGTCTATTATAATAAATAGGACGATGATAGAACGAGCAAGAAATTTGGTTAGGCAGTTCATTGTGGTAAATTCAGCAAGAATAATATCAGGTTCCAAGAAAGAAGCGCTTGGAGATCGACGGATATGATAGGTACGGTATATGGCATAGGGATCTATTTCATGTTACTAACAATCCCCTTCACCCCTTTTTGAAAATGGCCGAACATTGTATGCTGCACCAGACTTCGTTAATGGTATAAGCTGAGTAGGTATCAGAAATGGATGATAGTATGATGACGAAACTGGTCAGTTAATTCGCATCGTAGCAAAATCACCAATTACCATGTTTTCCAGAGAGGACCGCGTAGAGGTCGTCCTAACAAGGTCTATTGATAGCAACGGGGTTTTTAGTAATTAATAATGGAAGGGTGCGTCAGTGGAGGATAATAAGATGATACCCCGTTAGGCGGGTGCACCAATTCATTATCATCCATCAAAAACTCATGTCAGTAACCTTTCCGCTAATATGGCTATAATAAGTTAAGAAAAATTTATGTACCTATAGCAATGAGATAAACGCGCCGTAGACCACAACATACGAAACTACTTTTGATACAAGATAAACCTGTGTACTAGAAGGCGCATTTGGTAAACTATTCATAATAAAAGCTGGGATTGAATTGTATAAAATGAAAATAAATCTTACTGCATAATTATAAAGTTCGTTTTATTCAGTTGTAGCATTAAGTAAACCTATTGTACTATGAGACTGCGAGATAAGAATTTCTGTCGCTTTCGTACAGTTTGCCAGTCCATGAATTGAAATACTATGGTAGAAATAAAGCATATTTTAAAATTGTTTGATTTCCGTTGATGCCGGATGACTATGTTTATCTGTTTACTAACTCAATTATAATTTACTCTTATTTCTAAGAGGAATATAAACTGTTTTCTCCGAATTTGTCGTGGTCAATCTTCATACGTTAAGTACAGTTATGACCTTTATCACATAGTCTAAAATCAATACCTAATCAATACCATTCTCAGAAAATCTTGTAAAATAAGTTTTGTATCTCACTCTAAATGTTTTTTCAATCTAAAGGCGCAAAAAAATTGATTTTTACGTAATATATGGAAGTCTGGCATTGTTTATTTGAGTTAAATTGTTGAATAAGAATGATATTCCTGTCCGTTCTCCGGACAGGAATATCATTCTTTCTATAAATCTTTACGTTATATACCAAATGTTTTAGGTGCGTATACTTTACTTCAGTTATCAATTTGTCTTTATCTCATTAACATGTTTTAAATACGTTTAGAAAGAACTCTTTAATTCTTGCCTTTTCCGGGACTTATTATTTGTGACTGATAGTATTACATTTCTGCGTTACAAGATTTTACAGAACATAATTCTAAAATTTATGATATATTAAAGAAATAACAGTAACATTTTACATTGGTTTTTTTTAGTAGGTAATCTGACGATAGGAAACAAAACTTACAATAGTATTATTTTACTTTATCAGTTAGGCAACACTGTCGTACCCGCTCGTTCAATCGTTGTCTTGTGATTTGTCTTCTTGTTTTTAATAAGATTTTCTTTAAAATTAAACTGCAATGTGGTGTAAATGTAAAATATTTTGTGACTTGTATTGTTAATTGATATGTATTTCATACGTGTACATTCGTGTGTTTAACTTTCATTAGTGTATTTTATCATGTGTGGCAAAGGTATCAAGACAAGAATGAAACATACTTTTGCTTTGTAATAGACAGGAATAAACGTAAGTAATTTATTAAACATATAAAGTTATGCTGTAGGATTGTATAATTTCTTTTTTGAACATTACTCCAATATAGTACTGACTCTACAGGTGTTATACATAGTAGAAGTTAGCTCCCTTTCTAAAATTCTCAGATCGTAATTACCTATTAAAAGTTTGTTACAGAAAAAAAACAATACTTTCTATTATAATAAATAAAATTTCATTTGTACAAATGTATTTATTGGTCTACAACTCTTTTTAATATCTTATCATTCGTAATTACAATAGTTATCATACGTATTATTTTACGAGCAACTTTACAGAAAGCCTAAAAAACAACAATGATTTTGTATGTAATTCTACTGTTAACCGTCAACCGGCATTATAAAAAAAATCACAACTACAGTACTACTTATAAAGCTTAGTAATACCATTACTTAGCTATTATATGTTCTATTATGTGTATATATTATATATATTCTAGCTAAGATTTTAATATATGAATATTTATCACTAATCGTAATCAAAGTAGTATCTACCAGCTTTATCTGTTTTACATAATTAATTGTCAATGTGCTGATGTAGATATGAAAATTTTACATATCAAAAAATATTTTTTTTTTATATTCACTAGTCTTTGTCTTTATTAAAGTTGTAAATTGAACTTATGATGAGACATAAAAATGTTGTTTTGTTGTTCAAAGTATGTATTATTCTTTTTTATTTGTCCTACTAAATTTATTACTGTCAATAATATCAGGTGTGACTATTCTTCACTATATGCTGCATTTTTTTTTTTGCTATTTATTATGTATATTTATTAATTGGTTAAATATTATATATCCATTATGAAATAAGTGATCAATGAAGTTTTTTCAAATATGTTATTTATTTATAAAATTACATGCTCTTGGTAAGTATTATAGTATAATATCAAAACACCAACCAAGGTAATTTACACACATGAAATATTCGAAACTAGATATCATATACTATCAAGGCAATAAGATATATGTATTTAGATATTTTTTTAAATACTATTTAAAATATATAAATACAAAATACAAAATACTGAGGTCAAATATGCATCTGTATTATGTGTCGCATCTAATAGGCAATATATGACTATGTGTAAAACTTTTCTTAAACAATGCTTGTGAAATAACATGTGACATAGAGATCATAAATTGAAATGTATAGTTTTTATTGGACAGACAATATATGGTTTGTACTAGTGGCCCCATTGCTAGAAATGTACCCCATCAGTTTGATAGTACACAGTCATCCTTGGAAACCTGGTGGTCATTTGGTTGGTAAACCAGTTACAGTGGACTGACTGATCTCATTTTATATTCATTCTGTTTTCCTCCATTGTTGCCCCACCACCAATATCTATTGATTATAAAAAACTTTGTTTCTGAGAGCATATTAAATATTAATAGAAATACAGGAGAAACTACTTTTAATTCACTTTTTGGAGATCTATCAGAGCAATGCATTTCTTTTCTTATCAAACTTCCCCTGTATTTCTATTAATATTTAATATGCTCTCAGAACTACTACTACTACTACAACTACTATCTCATACTGTTTAAATGTTATGACCACCTTGTAATTGGAATATGATTGAATTAAATTGTTTACGGTTTTTAAATTGTCCATCTTCATATTATTGAGCTATATAAATATTTATAACTTACTCTATTATTACTTACACATGAGATAGGTTCTAAAAAGCACACAGAGAAACATATACAAGCAGCTAGCATATTGCTGCTGATTCTGCAGAACTATTTATAATACATGCTTTCAGCCATCAGGTCAAATGCAGAAATGTCATGACAAAAAGATAATGTTGATATATCAAAACTAAAGGTTAATATTATTATCTATGTTTTACAGGTAACAAACAGAAAGATGGAACACTCCGATCTAGTAGCCGAGATGGCTCAGGTTGAACACATGACCACTCAGGAGCGGCTACACTTAGCTAGAAGGTAATATAATCTTCTGTTTCACATATTATAGATTGTTTAATGTGGAGTGTACTATTATGTCTTCTAATATATATTATATCTTAGAAGAATTATATGGAGCCTAAGCTGCTAGAGTGTTGCATATAATGCATAAGTTTTAATATGCAAATATCATTGCTTATAAATATCTTAATCCAAAACTTTCTTCTTCATTAATAAGAAAATTTTTGCATCTTTGCTGTAGTATTACAGTTACATGTCATTTATATTTTGGTCACAAATACTTATAATGAACTTTACATGTAATGAAGCGCTAAAATAAAAATAAAAACTTCTTATGTTTATATTTGATCAACTCACGAAAACATCTCAAGACTTGACAATAATTGTTGGAAACAACATTGAATTATTTATTTACTTACTAGTGCAGTTACATAGTGGTCTATATACCAATAGTTTATATATTTTTATCTTTTAGCTACTGTACTTTTCCCACACAGTTCATATGGGAAAGTACAAGGTTAGAAGAGACCTGACGTTCATATCTTGTTTAATTAAATGTACATGGTAGCAAAATCTTATCTATCCATACTTGCCATTAGTTTAGTCTATGTTGTTGTACTCGTATGATGTCGTTATCGGTTTTGCATTTTTAAAGAATAATGTGACTTAAAAATTAATACATTATCGTCTTATGAATTTCGTTTACACAATTCCAGCATTAACAGAATACTTTGGATCATAACACTAAACAATCAGTATTTATTAACAACATCCATACGTATGTGGCGATCTATGTCTGACATGGTTGTTAATAGGATAGGATGATTATAATTGTATAGGTATACAATTATAAAACTAATATTGATGCAGTTTTGATGTACAATTTAATCTGAAGAGTTGCTATCTCGATTTGTATAGTTCGATAAGAAATTTATATATCGGTAAAGCGGATGGATGTAATGGTCAGAGGCTTAGGATTGACCTATCATCTTCAGATATGGTTACTCAGTATTATCTCGGTAAGCACTATGTATCTGTGAGCCGTGTAACGAAAACACCAAATGTGTTTATGAATTTAGGTTCATGGTAATCTGTTTTATCTCCCTAAGTATATAAGTATGCGTATAGATATATGAAAAGTACCATTGAATTTTTGCAATACGTACGAGTAGATTTTTGCATATTCCATTCATCTGGCGACTTTTACGATTTTCCATTTCTTTTTTATATTACACTACAATGGTGGTAAACAAGAGGCTGATGGTAAATGTTTACTGTACACGTTGTCGACCCGTAAGAAACCTTAAAAATACTATACTGTAGTCTCTTGAAACCTCGGTAAGGAGTTCATTCCACAATTTAAGTGTACGCGGGAGGAAGCTCCTCTGTAACCGTCCTGTTTGAGACCATTTAAGTTCTAGTGTATGAGGCTGCATTCCCTGTCTATGACCGGAGGCAATAAAGGTTTCAATAATATTGGTATAATTTCCAGTGTAGTAATTTATTACCTTAGATCAGAATCATATATTTCTCGTATTGAGACCCTTATCAAAATTACTTGATTGTGGAAAGTTTAAAATAGGATTACAATTGTTCAACATAAACCATAGTCCAATGAATGATAAGAATGATTTTACAGATTATCTATATAAAAATACCACGAAGTATAAACAAACATAGGTACATATACTTTTTTGGGTTTCGTAGTCAGTTATGTAAGCCTAAACAGTTTCGTCATATCCATCCGTGCAAAACAATTACTCACACACCCGTTCTCAAAAGAACAATCTGAACACTCTCAGTAATTTTGTCACAATGTAAGTAAGAATATATTTTCCTGGAAAATAAATTCTTCTAAAAATCATATGATACGACGCGATATTGAAACCTTCGAAAAAGGTACCCACTTTATGGTGTTAAAAGCACAAATATACCTACCGTACATGCTCGTTTGCTCTTTATACTGTAAAAAATATATTACTCGCTTTCTGTGTGCTCAGACCGTAAGACTTAGATGTATTGATTGACCGGGATAAATTGTAGGCTATAACAATCCTATCCCATTGCTATGTATATGCCAGTTTTGAATAATTATTGGTTAAACTCAAGTTGACAACAAAGTTACCTTCACATTGTATTGGTAGTTTCTGCTAGCGACGTCATATGCTTGACCTTGATTGACAGGGTTGACATGATTGAAAAGGCCTTCTTTTACTCAAATTATTCGTATATATGCCAAATTTAAAATTTTAAGAAATAGAAGTATTCTGTATGTTATAAACTCAATACAAGCACTTTTGAATAGTAATATTTCTTTTTATTCGGAACACAGGACCTTCACAAAAAAGAGTGCGCAAGAAACTTGTGTTGCTTTTTTGAATAAATGTTATTTTAAGTAAATAATTACACAATAACAAGTAAGAGGCATTGGATAAACAACATGGAAACCGCTACGCACTTATTCCGAGAGCAATCAGATAATATTATCAGCGCTATGAATTTTAAGTTTTTTCTACAAAAATGATAAATTAAATTAGCTGTTAAGGTGTGAAAACGACAAGACTCAGTTTTATATTTACAATTATATTAGCTAGCACTGAATAAGTACTATGTTACCTACATTGATCGAATGTAGATAATATTAGTAAATCTTAGTCGTCACCTTGATAGTGACAAAAACAAGCGGAGATAATCCTGCTACGAAAATCGTTATCATGTCACGTAAACATTTGAAACCATTCAATAGAAATTAAGAAAGCTAAGGTTGTACACTTTGAATTTATTTAGTGGGACTAGACTAGTGAAGTTTGTTTTAATTAACCATTTTTTTTGAGTCCCTATTTTTTACAAGCATTGTTGAAAGTAGCGTGTGTTGTTTCCATGCAAGGGAGGGTTTATTTGGACTTTTGACGTGAAGTCGAGTAGAATTCAGCCAGTTTTGTAGGTTATATTAAATATATTGTGGATAATAATGGAATCATTCACCCACCTGTTCTAACGGTTCCCGCGGCGGGGCACCAGTTAAGGACGATAAGGTGAAGTCAGGTCAGTTAGCCCATCGTGGCAAATTCATTAGGAACTTATCACGATGGTTTCCGTTCACGTGGAGGTCAACCTGTCATGGTACATTACTAGCAATTATGGTTATTGGGGGGAAGGTGATTGTTAGTAATGTGGATTGATAATCCCATTGCTAGCAATGTACCATATCAGGTCGACCTCCACGCGGTTCCCCCTGGAAACAATCGTGTTAAATTCCTGGTGAATTTGTCACGATGGGCTAATTGACCTGACCTCATGCTCATCTTATCATCCTCCACTGGTGCCCTGCCAGCATAAACCGTTACCGCAGGCGGGTGCACCATTCCATTATCATCCATAAAAAAAAATTATGGTTATTAGTATGGAGATTGTTAGTAATGTTAGGTTGAGCTCCACGCCGTTCCCACTGGAAAGCAATATGTAAATTTTTCGTGAATTTGTCTGACTGACCTGACTTATCACCCTCCACTGTGGCTCGTCAGTGTAAACTGTTATCGCAGACAGGTGCACCAGTCCATTATCACACATTAAAAAAATGGGGTCAGTAGGCCGCATTACTAACAAGCCATCCCCCCGGTTATATATAAATTATCGCACATGCATAATCTGCTGTCTCAGGTTGAGGCTTACGTTCTTCAGTATTTTGTTCTGAATGGGATGCGTTTGGGCTTGATATTATAATTATCAAAATGACTTTGGCTTCATATTGTTCATTCCATCATTCTCCATATATTCCATTACACTATAGCCTTATTTATGGCTCCCATTTGACTGTAACTGAATAGGAATAGTTAAAGGATGAGGAGTAACTGAAGCAAGGCTGGAATCTTACACAGCTATTAATATAAACAAATTAATTGGCATCACCGGACGGAAAACAATTAGAAAATATTATTATTCCATACACGGAACATTAAGCAAAAAAATCTTAAAAAAAAAGTTATTAAACACAAATGGAACGCTAATGTGTAGTATTGAAAAAGTTTCCGCTCAGCAAATGCCGGTGACCAGCCGCCATGACGCTGGTATTCTGCAAGATTCCTTTATATCTTATATAATATATATAAATATAATATGTCATAATATTCATATACAATAAATTCTCGCTGTTTTTCTTACAATAAAAGATCTTTTACTAAATATAAGTTCCAAAGATTAGACTATTATAAAATAGTATAATCTTGTTAATATTATAAACGCGAATGTTTGTGAGTATGGATGTAGATTTAGAATAACATATAGGCTGATATTTCACGCAGGTGAAACCGCGGGCACAGCTAGTCGTAGCTATATATTATGAATTTGAAATTGAGTAGAACTTACAAAGAAATATATTTTTGTAGATACTAATGTTTCCTTTTTTATAATGACTTTATAGTGTAATCTTTGAAACCCATATAATTGCTATGCGTCACCATAATCAACATAGTGGGTACATTTCTACGACTTATTATAGATAATATTACTTCCTGTCTGTCAGTCATAATTGAAGAATGATAAATAAATAGATTTAATTTTCAATTGTGATTAAATTTTATTGTATTTGCACGTGGCATAATTATATGTCAGAACATTAAATCCACAAGATTATATTGTCCTTATCGGAGGGGATGGAGATGTAATTCAATGTGACTTGATGTAGTGGCAACAAGATTGACAAAGCTACAGATATAGGATCTGAGAGAACCAGATTAAAAAAAATATTCTATAGTTTTGGCGTTTTCTCTCGATCTACTGTCATAGAGCTTGAGATTTCATATCGATCTGCTGCCTTACAGATCTTGATTTACCTACTCGATTAAAGAGTAATAAACCAAAATATAAAACATAGAATGCATATCGATGTAACAAAAGTATCGACAGATTTAGGCGTGTAACTTGCGAATTTCAGTCGAATCTTGAAGGAAAAATTACAATAGTTTTGTATTGGCTGCACGTCTGCTACTCTGTATATGTATCGAATACCATACGGACGA